CCAATGTTTTCTTCTAAGAGTTTCAGAGTTTCAGGCTTTACATTGAGGTCTTTGAGCCATTTGGAATTGACTTTTGTGTAAGGTGAAAGGTAGGGATTTAGTTTCATTCTTCTACTAGGTGGAGATCCAGTTTTGCCAGCACCATTTATTGAAGATGCTGTCTTTTCTCCACTGTGGGGGAGGCCCTTACATACATGTAGGCAAAACACTCATACACATTAAATAAAAATAAAATAAGATTTTAAAAGAGGGGTTAAGACAGTAATTTTTCTCTCTAATATTAACTGTTCCTGTTGGTGGCTCCTTCGGGCAGTGTGAGGGAGATGGGGTTGGGGAGGGGCACATAGGTGGATTCAAAGGTGCTGCTGCTAATATCCTGGTTCCTAAAATGGTTGGCAATTACTCCATTGTTTATAATCACAAATGTTGTTTATAATTTAATGCACGGTTGTAAATGTTTGCATATGCATTCAATGTTTATTTTAAAACCTAACTTCAGGTTCTATCAAAACTTGCATATAACAACTAATTTTCTTGGTATTTTGTATTTGTTTTGTTTCATTTTTCTTTTTGTTTGTTTTTTCAGGTACAATGGTCGTTCTTCTGTGGGCTGTAGTTTGGTCCGTTACCGGCTCTGAATGTCTTCCTGGAGGAAATCTGTTTGGAATTATACTCCTGCTCTGTTGTGCTGTGGCTGGAGGTAAACTCTTTGGACTCATTAAGTTACCAACGCTGCCTCCTCTGCCTCCTCTCCTGGGTAAGTGCTAAACACCTCCTATTTTCTTCAAAGCAAATAAAATTTTAAACATAGTAGTAAAGTACTATAAATGAATACAATATTGCAGTATTTGCTGTTCTGGAAACAAATGTCACTTGTTAAGCTTTAAAAATTTTTATTAATGTATGTGTGCATGTGTGTACATGCGTAGTGTGATGCCTATGGGTTACATGTGCACGAGCAGCATGTGTGTGGAGGTCAGAAGACAACTTTATGGAGTCATTTCTCTTCCTTCCACCTTTACATGGGTTCTGGGGATCAAACTCAAGTCACCAGGTTTGCATGGCACTTTACCCACTAAGCCATCTCACTGGCCCTAATTGTTAAATTTTAAGATTCATGAGTCAATTGTGAGAGGTGGTAATTTTTTAATTAACTAATATAAATTCGTAGTTAAATAGCTAACATCAAAGAACCAATACTCAAGATTCATCTCTTCCTAATTGTTTTTACCATGTTTTCTCTTGTCTGAGCTCTTGAGATTATGGCCATGGCTTAGAATGATGCTCCTCTGCCCCTCTCTGAACCCCACAAACAGTGACATCACACTGATACCCCAAATCAACTTTGCTGGAAGCTTCTGTGACACAGACAGGAGTACATGCTACAAAGCGGGGCTGGTTATATTGTAAGCCACTCAGGCCTTTAACAGAGAGACTGATGTACATCTTTGTTATATTCTCATCTTGCTCATCAACATAGGTAAAGCTATCACCCACAACTCGGGGCAGTTCTCTACAGGTGATAGGAATGACTTCTGCTGAATCAGGTAGTAGGTAGCTGTTTAGTCTGAGCACTATCAAATTTCAGTTGAACTGCAGCCATTTTTGGTTATGAGCACAAGAGTCTGGCAAGCAGTCATGAGGGCATTCTGGGAGAACTAACTGGGAATGCAGATGGAATTGGAGTTGTGGTACACATGGTCACTTCATGTTGCCCAGTAATGTTTTAACTTCACAGGTGCATAGGACTCATCATTATTCCTTTTATTTATTTTATTTTATTTTATTTTATTTTTTTGGTCTTTTTGAGACAGGGTCTCCCTGTAACCCCATTAGGCCTTGAACTCACAGAGATCCACCTGCCTCTGCCTCCTGAGTGCTGGGATTAAAGGCGTGTGCCACTATGCCTGGCTTCCTTTTATTTTTTAATTTAAATTTTTAAATTCATGTGTAAGAGTGTTTTGCCTGCATGTATGCAAGTGTGCTCATGTGTACAATGCTCACAGAGGCCAGAAAAGGGTTTAGGATCCCCAGCAATTGGAGTTACAGTTGTTAGCTGCCATGTGGGTCCTGGGAACTGAAACTTGGTCCTCTCTAAGAGCAGCTGGTGCTCTTAACCTGAGTCATCTCTCCAACTCCCGTTACTCCTGTTAAAATCAAGTCTTGTAAGACTCTTCATGCTGTTACTCAACTAAGATTCTAGAAAGACCACAAGACTGCAGAATTAGGAACTTAGAGCCTTCTGACTATATGATAGTGGTGAGAACTGATGCTTCCATGCCTGATGGTGACTGTAGCAAGTCACAACAGTTATACTCTTTGTTTTTGTTTTGTTTGTTTGTTTTTTCCCCTGGAATTTGCTATGTAGACCAAGCTGTCTTTGATCTCACAGAGATCCACCTGCCTCTGCCTTACAAGTGCTGGGATTAAAGGTGTGCATCACTACACCTGGCTCATTATTTTTAATTTGTCTCTATTCTCATAAAATATCCTACCTTTAGTAAATGTGTCTATCCATGTGAAGTGTGGTGCCTGTAAGGATGCAGAATGCAGAAAAGATACTGCTGCGTGGGAGTGGAGGGTAGAAGCCCTGTGGTGTCTGATGGAGAAATCTTTCCCTTTGTGTGGACATGAGGCCTGAACGGCATAGAATTCCATTACAGAGAACGCAAGTTCAGTTACACTAAATTATCTACAGCTCCTAAAATGTGACCCTTCTTATACCTTCAAACTAACTACTTTCTGTTCCAGGAACTCTAAACTTGCCCCAGCCCTTCAGTTCCTACCCTTTTCTGGACCCTCTCTTACCCACCTTTGTCCTCTCAGTGTCATATAATTGGAATTGTTAGTCTTGTTCCCCTGAGGACTGAACACTTGTTGAGGTGTTAGAGTTCCCAGCAGGTCTCCATCATATGCACAGAAGTCATGGTCTTCTGTCTGCATCTGATTTGATGTTTATCATCATAGAAAATAACGAAGGCATTCAGTAAACGCTAAGCAGTAAATAAAGGAAGAGGTGCCATCTGGCACGGCAGGTCAGTGGCCAGTTGTCATAATTATCTAAAGCCTTTGCAAACCATGTTATATGTATCTTGTTAAATGACTTTATGTGAAAGTGAAATAGAATTCATATAAGTACTTACTGATATTTCAGGTAATCTGACATAGTAAATAATTTCAGGTGCTCCTTGCACCCAGAGTAAAGACTGAACTGGCACTGGATTAAAGAATTTTATTTAGGATCTGAACATTTTTCCATCCAAATACTACATCTTGTGCCTCCCTTCTATATTCAGCTATTTGGAGAATATTAATTATTCTTTTTTAATTGTTTTTCGACAGGGTCTCCCTAGTCATAGTCCACCTGGAAGTCATGATGTGAACCAGGGTGGCCTCAATCTCACAGAGATCCATCTATCTCTGCCTCCTGAGGGCTGGGATTAAAGGTGCACGCCACCACTCCCAGAGTGAGAATATTAATTATCCTAATCTTTTTTTTTTTTTTTTGGTCTTTTTGAGACAGGGTCTCCCTGTAGCCGTGGCTGGCCTGGAACTCACTTTGTAGACCAGGTTGGCCTTGAACTCACAGAGATCCTCCTGCCTCTGCCTCCTAAGTGCTGGGACCAAAGGTTTGCACCACCATGCCCGGCTTCTAATCATTTTTTTGAATAGAGTATTTCTTTGATCTTTTAACCTATTATATTTATTTTAATTATAACTTTAAAGCAGTTTCTATCCAAAGACTAAGCATAAGAGAAGGCTGCATAATAGTCTGTCTCACAGGTACAGTGTTGAAAAATCTCTGTATTTGAAAACTTAACTAGTCCTGTATAACTTGTCCTTTCAAGGCATGCTGCTTGCTGGGTTTCTCTTGAGAAACATCCCAGTCATCAGCGATAATGTCCAGATCCAGCACAAGTGGTCTTCCTCCTTGAGAAGCATCGCCCTTTCTGTCATTTTGGTTCGTGCTGGTCTCGGTCTGGATTCAAAGGTATGAAAGATAAATTTCAAATTACTGAATAGTAGTATGTTCTAATACTACAAGTATTTATAATCATTAAGCTTTGAGGAGTGAATGTGGACACTCTTCATGGCAATCTCAGGAAGAAATTGGAGTTTATTTACAGCAGGGCTGTTTTACACCGTGTGCCTCATAGGAGTCCAGATGTTCCCACACTATTTCTGGGAGGAAGGAGGAGTCACCGTGGAGGTGAACACACAAAAATAAAGGCCTTTTCTCTGACACAGATTAAGTCATAGCTATAAATAACAATTATGGGGAAAGACATCTTTTTAGTGTATCAGGGCCTGTACAAGTGTGTAGGGCTAACCACATAAGCTCACAACTGCCAGCCAAGTAGAATGAGTCTCAAGTACGTTTTCTAAAATGCTTTTACCGTGTATACTTTTAAGTACAGGGATGAATGTTCTTTGGAGACAAAGATCTCTACCTTCACCTTAATCTGGGGCCAAAGACTACAGTGAAATGGATCCTGAGAGGGTTTAAGTCAGCCAGTGTATGATTCATGAACACAGACTCCGAAGTCACTTGCTTGACTGTAGACTTGGCCCCAACACTCATCAGTTTCTGGTTTTGTTTTTGTTTGTATTTTTGGTTTGTCTTTTTGAGACAGGGTCTCCCTGTAACCCCAGCTGACCTGGAACTCACTATGTAGACCAGGCTGGCCTGGAACTCACAGGGATCTGCCTGCCTCTGCCTCCCAAGCGCTGGGATTAAAGGTGTGACCACTACACCTGGCACTGAGGCGAATGACTTTAACTTGTGCCTTTACAAATGATGATGTTTAAAAACAGGAGCAGTAGCATTGCCCATCTCAGGGGGTTACTAGGAAGATTGCTGAAATGCTTGCTAAATAAAACTAACTACCTGGGAAACCATGAGGACCCAGGTAGAGTCTGAAAAGGTGCTGGCAGTCATGCTGTCGGTGTGTCTTCAGAAGAACAGAATCACGTGTCCACTCTTGTTTTTCAGGCCCTGAGGAAGCTGACGGGTGTCTGTGTGCGGTTGTCCCTGGGTCCCTGCACTGTGGAGGCCTGTGCTGCTGCACTTCTTTCCCACTTCCTCCTGGGTTTACCATGGCAGTGGGGGTTTATACTGGGGTAATGACCTTTCTCTTTGCATATGAAAATATGAAGACTTTTGGCTAACTTTCCCTGAGTCTGTATAAGAAAATGTAGAACAGCATTTTCATAAGGATACCACAAAATGCATATAGATAACTCAGCTTCATCTAAATATTCTAACTAAAAATACAGTCTGTGCCTCTATAGGTGTTAGGTTTTGTAATGATTACAGCAATTTAAACTACCGAAGAAGTTATTTTTTTTTTTGTCTACACCTGACTCCATGCCTGTAAGATGCCGGGTCCCACCCCAGAGGCTTCACAAATGATAATAAACAGCATCGGTGAGCAGCACACACCACTGTGCTCCTCCTGCCCCCAGACATTGTGACTGGTTCCTTTGTTTCCTCCATCCACTGTCATGTTTTGTGATTTTCCAGTGAGTGTATGATCTTTGACAAGTTTCTCAGTCTCTCTGTATCTCTATTTTCTCTCTTCGATTGTTTCATAGTGTGGTGGATGGCAGTGGTAAAATGAGCTCATGTACATAACCTCTCAACGGTATTTAGTGTCACTAGACTGCTGTCCTTGTCCTGACAGCCTCCTCCTTCAGATCTGTTGTTATATTTTACATATCAAAACCTAATTGAAGCCTCAGCATCACTGGGTTCAGTTCAGAAGTCTCACGGTAATTTTTCAAACCTTAAAACAAACCAGGCATGGTGTACACTTTTCATCCCTGCATTTAGGAGGCAGAGACAGGCGGCTCTCTATAAGATGGAGGTCAGCCTGGTCTGTGTAGAGTTCTAGGCAAGCTGGGGAGACCCTGCCTCAAAAAGACCAAAACAAAATAATATATATATGAATATGAATTTTTTTGTTTTGTTTTTTAAAAAACACCTTTTGGGGCTTAACTTCATTAATGCTTTGATATCTTTAATAAATGCATATATTTTAGGCAACCTGTTATTCCCGAACAGGCAGTCCATGGGTACTGTGAGAAAAACAAAGTTGTACAGGACTTGCGTGTTTGTTTGTGTATATTGTTTAGTGTTTCCCTGCTGATCGAAAGACTCAAGTCGTCTCAGTTCTAATCTAATATTCAAAGGTGTAGATAGAAAAGTGGATCTTGTTATAAATTCTGAGGCTGCTGGTAGTGCACAGAGGATCACAGCATCTGATGCACAGCCTGTTCAGCTTTGTCCTAGGAGCTGTGTCTCCAGCTGTCGTGGTGCCGTCAATGCTCCTTTTGCAGGAAGGAGGCTATGGTGTTGAGAAGGGTATCCCAACTTTACTCATGGCTGCTGGCAGCTTTGATGACATTCTGGCCATTACTGGCTTCAACACATGCTTGGGTGTGGCCTTTTCCACAGGTAAACTAACCTATCTAGAACCTATGTTTAAACCATGGTTAGGGGAAGCAGTGGTAAGTTGTCACCAGGATGAACAGGAGCTACTGATCTTCCTTCCCTTCCTATAGGTGAAGTCTGCCCAAGTAGCATGGACCAAGTACAGGAGTGGAGGATAGAGAGTAGCAAGGTTTGTAAATGAATAGTTTCTGTTTGGAGAGGCCTGGGAAAGTTTGAAATGTCACACAAGAGATGAGCAGGTTTTTCAGTAGGCACACATGAGAGCTGGAAGTCCAAATAGTATGATTCTAAAATAGGGACAATTTCTGTTCCCTGATCTTTAGCTTTTTAATCAGTCCCTTGTAAATTAATCCTCCATAAGCATTGTTTTCATAGTGTTACTTTCTTGCTCTGTAATGAGCATTCCCTAATTCCCTCTTAAGATCCAATAGATAATTGTCTTCATTTTAACTCAACTGTCTCTAGGCAAACTTCTATACACACTGTTTTCTTTTATGCAGCTTTAAAGCCACAGCTCCCAGCCTTAGTAATACATTAGTGTTTCCTAGGGAACTTTAAGCAATGTTTTTATGTAGACATTACCTTAGACCAATTAAATCAGGGCCCTTGGGAATGAATCCAGGGCAGTCATGACTAGCAACAGAGCATTAGCGTCACCGAGGAGATGAAGGACAGCAGACAGAACTGAAATCCAGGAACAGTGGCTCTTCTGAGCTTTTCACAATCTAGGGGATGTGACAGCTTAAGAACCTTGATGACTGACTCTGTCATGTCACCTCAGCTCTGCCCCCTTAAGGCCTGTTCTCAAAGGTTTGGGGTTTGAACCTGACTTGATTTACTGATAGAAATCAAAGGATGAGCCCAAGAATTTTTTTGGTTTTAAACAAATTTACCATACAGGAGACTGAAATTAGCTACATTCTAGAGTAAACTCAAACTGGATTGTCTTTTTGGTTTATAGTGCTGAGGATGGAGCCTTGGACCTTGCTCCTGCAGGCTCGTAACCTCCTGTTCGCCTGAGTCCCCAGCACCTTCAGCTGGGTGCTTTCTGCTGTCTTCAGGCACACATTTACCTTCCAGAAAGCTGTCTTAGCTAAGTAAATCTGTGCAGGAATTTTTTTTAAAATAAGAGAGGTGCTTACAATAATTACAAGAAACCACAATAACTAGTTAGCAACTTTTTTCTTAGGACAATTGAAAAATAGCTTTATGTGTAAAACAGTTTCAGCATAATTTTCTGTGCAATGTGTTAACAAACTTTTAAAATTAATTTTCCTAAATCTTGTTTGCAGTGAGGGAAAACAGGCTCTACTGGCCCCCACATTATGATTTTGAAAGACATTAGATTCTTCCAAGGGAACTTGCAAAAATAATTTAAAATTTATTTTTGCAGTACACAATTGAATAGATTTTTTTTATCTTTGTCAGAGTCTTAAGTTGCTGTTTATACATATATATATATATCATAGCTTATAAAATCAATGTACATTTATTGTTTATGTAAAGTCAAGGTCTTCAGTGGTAATTTGAAACCATAGGGGGTTTGTGTGCTGTGCTAGGGGCGAGTCCAGGGTCTCAAGCACACTACGCAAATGCCTTACCACTGAGCGACAGTCCTGGTAACTTGAAAACTCAACTAGCTCTGCTAGTCCTCTAGTCTATACATATAATACAGTAGAAGAAGTTGGCTCTAAATCGTGAATTTTATCTTTCATAATTTGGTAGGCCCTTTAAGAAAACTATTATGTAAGTAAACCTACCAAAAAGTGAGTGCCACTACCTTATGCTTGCTTTGAAAGCTTTCTCCAGTAATATGCATGTGCTTCGTTTTATTTTTTTTAATTTTATGTTTATGAATGCATTGCCTGCATGTAGGTAGGTATACCATGTCATGCAATGCCTACAGAGGTCAGAAGAAGGTGTTGGATCCCCTGGAACTGGAGTTATAGATGGTTGTTAGCTGCCATGTGGGCGCTGGGAGCTGAACCCAGGTCCTCTGCAAGAGCAGCCAGTGCTGCTGAGCCAGCCCTCCAACCCTACATACACTTCTTATACAATGGGAACATTTTAACAGATATATAATGTCACATGTGTTCAAAACGTAGAGTAGGAAATGCCTGTAAGAAGGCCCTTCTTTCTGGTTAGGTGCTCCATCTTGACAATGGTAGGCTAAAGCTTGCATATTAATAGATGAGAGTTCTGTCTGAAGTGTTTTCTTTCCTTGTGTTTTGTAGGGTCCACGGTTTTCAACATCTTTAGAGGTGTTTTGGAAGTGGTAATTGGTGTGGCAACTGGATCTTTTCTTGGGTTTTTTATTCAGTACTTTCCAAGCAGTGACCAGGTAAAGGAATAATCTGAGAAAATCACGCTATAAAATGTCAATGAAAGATCCTTCTAAAATACTTTCCTCAAAGCCAAATATGCAGGTCGTATTTGAAGACAGGATCCCCATTTTAAAATTGCTGATCGCTCGATTGGTGCTGACTGTGAAGAAAGTTACATCTATGAGGTCCTAGTGCACTCATGGAATTTTTGTCTAATTTATATTATGTGCCTTCAAAACTCATGGTCAGACAAGTATCTGTTCCAAAATTAAAGTTATGCAATTCTTTGGAAGCTTCATAATAATCAACTAAATCAAAATCTATAATGGCTTTTTTGCACCCTTTTTTAGTATCCAAATACTAAGATTCTAATGCCATCAAACAGGTAGGACTCCTAACATCCCATTATAATATAGTAAATGCTGCACTCCCAGGTCAAAGTCCTTTACCATATATGATTTCTTAATTTTTATGTATTTATTTATTTATTTTTGGTTTTTGTTTTTTGTTGTTGTTTTTTTTTTTTTAGTCTTTTTGAGACAGGATCTCCCTGTAGCCCCAGCTGTCCTGGAACCCACTATGTAGACTAGGCTGGTCTTAAACTCACAGAAATCTGTCTGCCTCTGCCTCCCGAGTGCTGGGATTAAAGGCGTGCGCCACCACACCCAGCCAATTTATTTTTATTTTGTATGTATGAATTTTTCTCTGATGTATGTAAATGCATCATGTACATGCAATGCCCCTGGAGTCCAGAAGAGGGCGTTGGATCTTGTGGAACTAGAGTAATGGACAGTTGTTAGCCACCACGTGGGTGCTGGGAACCAAATACCAGTCCTCTGCAAGAGCAGCCAGTGTTCTTAACCTCTGAACCATCTCTCCAACCCCACATACGTGATTTCTTAAAGAGAAACAAAAACTTATTTTCCTTCGCCCTCTTAATGCTTGTAATGTAAAAAGCATATGGGATGTTTTCTTTCTATCAAATTCACATTATTTTGAAATTTCTGAACATTTTGAATGGCATTAGAAAATTGACTAAAGATCTTTAATTAAGAAAATTAATATTTCGGGGACTGGAGAGATGGCACAGCTGTTAAGAGCACTGGCTGTTCTTGCAGAGGACCTGGGTTTGATTCTCAGCACCCATATGGCACCTAACAACCATCCATAACTCCAGTTCCAGGGGATCCTACACCTTCTACTGACCTCTGTGTACAATGCACAACATGGGTGCACTTATATACATGGAAGCAATACACTCATACACACAAAAATAATAAAATATATTTAAAAACTTAATAAAAAAACAAAATTGAGCAGAGCATGGTGGTGCACGCCTTTAATCCCAGCACTTGGGAGGCAGAGGCAGGTGGATCTTTGTGAGTTCAAGGCCAACCTGGTCTATATAGCAAGTTCCAGGACAGCTGGGGCTACAAGGAGACCCTGCCTCAAAAAGACAAAAAGAAAAAGAATTGATATTTCTATTATCATATTGTATATTGACCTGAATGTTCATTGTGCTTTAAAAATCTCTAAGTAAAGTAATCCATAAAATGTTTTATGACTGCATTTTAGTTACATACTAAAATTGAAAAGTGATGCATTTTGGGGGCTGGAGAAATGGCTCAGTGGTAAAGAGCACTGGCTGTTCTTACAGAGGACCAGGATTCTATTCCAAGCACCCACATAGAGACCGACAACTGTCCGCAGCTCCAGTTCAAGGGTTTATAGCACCTTCTTCTGACCTCCATAAGCATTGCATGACACAGGTGCCCTTACACACATTCAGGCAACACACTCATACACATAAAATTAAAATAATAAATAATTTTTTTAAAAAAAGAGTAAACAGACGGGCTTCAGGGGGGCTCAACAGGTAAAAGCATCTGCTACTCCTTCAGAGGACTGGATTTCAGTTCCCAGGGGCACATCAGGCAGCTTCCAACCACCTGTTTCTCCAGCTCCAGGGGATGCATCACCCTCTTCTGGCCTCCACAGGCAGCTGCACCCATGTGTACATATACACACAGAGGCAAACACACATACATAGAAATAAAAAATAAAATAAATCTTTTATATAAGATAATAAGTTAACAGAGAGACTGAAAATAATAGCTATTTCTCTAGTCTTCTGAACAACCCTGTGTTGTAAATACTTTCACAGACGAGCAAACAGCTTGGAGAGGGTACGCCAGTAAACCTAAAGAATCCCGCTCTCCACCATGGTCTATCCAACCCCAAAGCACATGTCCTTTTTTGTTTACTTCACTGAGTCCTGATAAATTCTGCATTGCTAACTGCAGAGGAAGAGAGCTGGTGTCCCGAAAGCAGAGCCTACCCTTGGACACGTGCTACCTGGGCTGCTAAGGAAGAGAGTGTGCTGCATAAAAATGGTTTTGTTCTCACCTGAATCCTAGATGTAGGATAGTCATCAAAAATCAGTTATTTGAAATAATTGAGCTGATCGACTTCTCTCTCTTGGAGGATGACCTTGTGTGGAAGAGGGCCTTCCTGGCTCTGGGGTTCGCTGTGCTGGCTGTGTTCAGCAGTGTGCATTTCGGCTTCCCGGGGTCAGGAGGACTGTGCACTCTCGTCATGGCTTTCCTTGCAGGCATGAGATGGAGGGACAAGAAGGTGAATTTCATTTCATTTCTTCTACTATGACTCTTTTGTTTTAACCCAATTCTTTCTTTTCAGGTCTTTCTTAACATATTAAACAAAAATTTTAAGAGCTGTTCTCACATATGCTAATGTATACCCAGTGTACACAGGCACATGTCCTTTCCTGTTACATATCAATCTGTTACTTAGTGTCTTCATTTAAAACATACCATGGCTGTACTACCATGATCCCTTCCCTAGTCCGGGAGCTAATAAGTATGTAGAATGTGTAGGCAGCTGTTATGATTATGTTTGTCCCTATTACTAGGATTGATAGGTTTGACCATGAAAATGAGGATGTAATGATTAGAAGTTCCCGAACAGCTGCAGAGCATTGCTCTGTGATCTAGCTAGACCACACTTAGCATGACCAGTTTTCTTCCAACAGATATTAAGCTGTTCTCTATTTATGCAACAATAGTCAATACTTGAATAATGTCCCCTGAAACATATTTCATAAACTATAAAATATTACCAATTGTTTTTTAATTTTTTATTTATTTTATTTTTAATGTGTGTGAGTGTATTGCCTGCATGTGTGTAAGTGCACCCATGTCATACAATGCCCGCAGAGGTAAGAAGGCATCAGATCCCCTGGAAATGGAGTTACGGATGACTGTTAGCTCCTATGTGGGTGCTGGGAATTGAACCCGGGTACTCTGCAAGAGCAGCCAGTGCTCTTCACCACTGAGCCATCTCTCCAGCCCCAACATTATCAATTCTTAAAAGCACTCTTATTTTATATGCTACTAAGAAAAATACACTGATAAAGTATAACACAAAATCCTGATTTCAGAAATACTAAAATGTCTATATATTTTTT